ACGCTTTCTTATATACAATATTCATGGTTTGATTCCTTGATACGCCGTCTTCGCCACAAATTAAGATTTTCAAATCATTTTGATTAGTGACATGAGAGACAACAACATACAACAGACCATTGCTAAACATAATTATAATTATAATTATTATATTAACAAAAAGAAGCGAAATATGAAAAATATAATTGGGCTTGTAAAAAAATCAATTAATATTAGTAGGCTAATTATTTTTTTCACAGATTGGCCCTATGATTAACATGGCTAGAATCGGCCCATCATTTATTTAGTCATAAGTGGATTTAGTTTAGAAACGGGCCAAATGCTGAAGTATCGGCGATAGACTAAAAAAATATGCGGCGATAGACTAAAAAGAATTGTTAGCCGTCGCACTTTTCCAACAGATCTTGAAAATTAAAATGAGGCTTTTTCACATTTATTCGTTTTACTCTCCACATGAGGTGAAGTTTAAGAAATCCATGTTTTATTTACAAAAGTATGTAGTCTTAAAAATATTTTTGTTATTCGGAAATGTAAGTTTTGTGGATAATATCAACAATTTTTTATTTATATCCGTCCATTTTCAATCTTATTCTCATTTCTTATTTTTAATTGTTAACATCTCAATAACCAAACAGAATAGATTTGTTATTTGTTAAGATTCTTTTAATATCTTAGAAAAAGGAATAAAATCGTAATTTATAGAAAACAATAATTCTATAATCATGTACAAATTATTTAACGCGATTACAACATGGAATAGTAACCAAAATTAATCACATTGGTTACAAAAAAAAATCGGATTGGAATCTCATATTTTTCAAAGCAAAATCTCACACGATTTTATCTGAATTTTTAATTATGTTACCAAAAATAAGGATCTCAAAATATCCGAACAAAATATTTGAAAATGGTGAAGTCGAATTTTATGAAATATGACATACAAATCAAATACAAAAAATAGGGAAGTTGTTGGCTTTATGCGCTTGAGAAATAAATATTGCAACATTAAAAATTTAAATTGGATTTCCATAAGTAGTAAGTCAAATGAGTTGACTAAGATTTTTTGTGAAGTTTCCACAATTGATTTATTTACCTCTCTCTTTCAATATATATAGATAGATTACCCGATTTGCATAACAAAGCTAGTAATAAAATAAGTTAAAGTCCCAATAATAGTGTTTCGACTTGGAGTAAAACATAGACACTGGTTCATGTGAATCATGTAACTGGATTTAGATATGTGGGCCGAATCGATCCAGAATCGGTTCGAAACCGACTCGGTTAGAACCTTTCGCCACGAACTTTGAATCAACATGTGGTTTTACCCGGGTTGGTTTCGAATAGGAACCGTTGATGGCCTGTGTTATTGTTATTATTATTTTTAAAATTTCAAACTAAAAAAAAAAAATCTGATTCCGTGTCGGGTCGTGTTGGGCCCGAAACGGGAACATACATTGATTAAATCTGGAGTGTTTGATCTTCTTGACCGTTGAAGATCAAACGTTCCATTTTTACTTAAACTGATCCGTTTCAAGGCAGAACCGGTTTGAACCAACGGTGTCAATTTTTTCCAACCGACTATTATATCACTCTTACCGTTGATAAACTAATAGTTAGATTTAATTTGAACTGTCGGTTTAATAATAAAAAAAATGATTTTTTTTTTGGTATAAAAATTGGATTTAGACGTGGCCACGGTTTGGCCCGAAATAATGTATCGGCCTGGAATCGGCTCAGAACTGACTCGGTTAGAACCTTTGGCCACATACTTTGAATTAACCCGTGGATTTACCCGAGACAGTTTATGTTCATACAAAATTAAATTTTGTGAACCGCACATGTTCCAATTTTGG